TGATCAACTTTAGACAAAAAGTTATAAATGGTTTTGATGTTCAAAACTGTCTGCGGGCTGCACAGGAGCAGCTCGCGGGCTGTATGTGGCCCTCGGGCCGCACTTTGCCCAGGTCTGCTCTAGGTTGTTTACATTAATTATACAAGCTACAAATCTCCCCCCTCCAGAAAGCTGGGTACTCAGTTTACTGACCTTGGAAAGACTGAAGACCGATTCAACCTTGAGTGGGTACTCAATTTACTGACCTTGGAAAGATTGAAGACCGATTCAACCTTGAGCCAGCTACCTAAGCCCAGGATTGAACAGAGGTTATGAACATTTCAAAAAGGTTAAGAACCACTGCCATAAGGCACAGTAAGTTTAACTCAGTCGTTACATAATGTACTCTCTCCGTTCTATTGGTGGGCTGTGGGTTAATTGCCCTGTGGAGTATCAGTTCTGATCTAAAGTTATTAAAATATTTCTTGAAATAACAGGGCTTGTTCCCTGCAACATTTTTTATTACTCTCAGTAACATCAAGCATAAAGATTCCATTGCTAGGCCATTGATCATGAGAGACAAAGGAGCTAAAAACCAGAAAATCTTGGTTTGATTAAATAAAGTGCATAAAACAGCTTTCTCAGAAAACCTTGCATGTAAACTCAGAGTGCAAAATTGAATAGCGTCATCTGATGTTTAGATATTTGTTATCTTTTGTTGATTATACCAATAATACATATATTTTTTTCAAAGATCTTTGGCTCAGCAGTTGTGGATTTGGTATGTTTGGCTAAGTTTAAAAACATTGGCCCAAGTTCACCTGCATTCATTGGGTCCAAGCCACATGCAAGCAAATCTGCAGGAAGCAGATTGCTCAAGTCTTGACATTGTAATTGTTTTGACTTAATGATGCGACAAGGATTATTGTCTTCATTACTGTATAATTTTCTGTCTTCTTAGTTGCATCACGTATAATTTTTGTTCTGACTGTTCACTTTTTCAAAATGTTAATTAAACAAAAGTGTTTTTTTAAAAAATGGGGAAAGCAAAAGCCTCTTTAGGAGTCAGTCCAGGGCTGCATGTATGAGATGCAGCAACATTTGAGGCCTGTTCCCAGGAGACTTATAAAAAGAACAAGAAAAGCCATGTTGGACGAGATAATTATGTGGACACAATGACTCAACAGTTGCTGGGGCAAACCTAACAGCAAGCATGAATACAACTGCATCCTCTGATCATATTTCCCAGCAGCTGGGAGATTTTCCAGATATACAAAAACACATTATTTCTGATACTGGAAGTGATGCAGAGCCGTCCCGACTAGAAGCCATTGATGACCCTCACATCCATGAATTTCTCTCACCCTTTTTCTAAAGCTGTGCAAGTCAGCGTCATCACGATAGCTCCAGCTCCTCATGGAGCTGTCCAAGGTGCTAAGTGAATCCTGTTACCAAAATGGCCAGGTTTTCCCAAGACACGTATATGGATGCCACAGACTGTTTTAAGTAAAAGCAATCTGGCCAAGAACAAGTATAGGGTGGAAAATAGTGGATGAGAAGAAATCCTATATAGTTCCCCAGCCAAAGAGTCGTCTCACGGGATAACCCTCCTATAGAGAGGTCATACAAATTAGATCACCTTCTTTTGTTTTTCTGTTGCAAGGATTATAAGAATTGTCTGGCAGTGAAGAAATATCCTCTGGTCTCAAATGAGTCAAGGTCTGGGAAAGCAAACGCACTAGAACATTCTGAATTTTTATAAACAGGGTCTGCCTTATCTACTTTTTCCTGTCAATGAAGTGGCCATTGTATTTCCATTGTCCCTGGAGCATCAGAGAGGATTGGCCAGATGGGCAACCTTCTATAAAACATTTCTGATAGAAGGGAGCAGAACAGATTGAGTGGATTTCTATGACATATTAGTTTTCTGAAACCTTTGTTTGAGCTTATGGGTGGGTTTGAACATGTTAATGAGTAATTTTATTACTCATACACACATTTGAACTTGATTATGAGTTCAAATGTAGGCTATAGAGAAAATGTCTCTAGAAATCCTCTCCCTACAATATCACTAATAAAGCGGTCAGTTCATTTGAGTCAATCTGACCAGAAACCAGATAAAAAGACACACAGTAGAGATATTGGCAGTTCTGCAGGTGTCAGCATTTGAAATTTTCTGTTTATAAGGTGTTAAAAATAACTAAAGGGGGTATAAAATTGTCCTGAAAATGACAGAACATTTGAAAGTATGGTTGGGGAGACAGATAACATTGGTTGTTTTCAAAACAGTCGACTGCTATCCAGAGAATCCTGAGAATGAGGACGATGATAGGATGAACACTGCTTTAAAGACCTTCAATCATGTGTGCCAGTTTAATGTGGAAGTAAACTAAATCTTGTAATGAGTTGAATGATGCTGTTAATATGAAAATATGAAAACAGCATTTGTAAGTTCAATAGTAGATGCTACTGGAAATCATAATAGTATAATCCAGCAATGGTCTAGAGCAGGGATCCCCAACCCCTGGACACAGATCTTCTGCTCCCTGCAAGCGCTGCCATGTGTGAGCATGCTGTGCATGTGCGTGTGAGCTACCCCTGTGAGCACCGGCATGCACATGTTTGTGAGTGTGCTCCACCCTGTGAGCACGCCGTGCACATGCATGTAAGCGCACCCACAAGAGCTGCTACATGCATGCGCATACTCTCTTCCCCCCCCTGTGAGCATGCCACGCCCCCCGCACAAGCATGCCATGCCCCACCACCAGTCTGCTATTGGGAAAAGGTTGGGGACCACTGGTCTAGAGTCCAACACTCTTAATACAATAAGCCTTTGATGGTCTAAGAGTTACACATTGTTAGAGTTCTAGAAGCTTGCAAAATCAATATTCAAAACAAGGATGAAAACCACAATAATGGCAGTTGCCAAATATGAAATTGCAGACCCTTAGTGCAGTAGTTCCTGACTTTGCGTCCCCAGATGATCTTGGCTTAAGCTTTCAGCACTAGCTGTGCTGGCCAGGATTTCTAAGACTTTTAGTCCAAGAGCATCTGGGGACCCAAGTTTGGGAACCACTGCCCTAGAGTCACAAAAACTGTGAGTATAATACAACTTTGCATTTTAAAAATTCTGCTGGACCTGCAGGTCTTTAGAACATGCGGATCCTATAGATAATGGTTGTTTAAAGGCAGGAAGTGAAAACAACTTAAAGAGTTATAAATATGTGGAGATAGGATGTGCACACAAGGCATAACAAGACAGCTGCATGCTGTATTACACGGACATCAACAACAATCATGTAGCAGAGCAGCTGAACACAGAGGCAACTCACAAGCATCATGAATTTTCCTCTACAGACTTTAATTGGTTTTCCTGGGGTGAGTACTTGGAATTATGTTTCTATGTGTGTCTAATAGCTTAAAAGCTATTTCCTTTAATATATATTTTACTTCAAACATATTTGATATGTTTAATATGCTTTTAAACTACCACTAAAGATGACTTAAAGTTACAACTTTTTTACTTTTCATCGATGTGCTCTAGAGTATTCTCCACCTTATCAGGCGCTAAGGTCTTATTTTTAGAATATAATCCAAAATATGTTTGATCTTTTATTGGAGTTTTGCTACTGCGTTTTGGATTCAAATATGATTTACAACCACTTTTAACACCTACAAAAGCTAAGTAGATAAATAAATCTTGTAGAAACAGAAAAGCTGATGTTACCTGACATTATTACAACAGTAAAAAGACTTGTATTTTTATAGTCAGATGAATGTTGATATGATCGTCAGTGATTGTCTGGTTTCATTCTTGAGTTAACTCTTTATTAGGCTAAATGCAAACTGTGACAAACGCTGGCTTCTGTCTGATGTTTTTCCCAGGAGGTCTATAAAGTTCTGTGAGACTCCTAGGAACGGTCAAGCAGCAGTTTTCTGATCTAACAGGAAATCTTTTGGGTGGGAGAGAATCTTCTTGTTGGATCTACCTTTGACTGAACCTTCCCTTTCCCTGTTCTTGCCAGGCCCTTTTTGGAAAGGCTTCATTATTTCTGAGCTGAAATTACAGTTGTAGCCCTCCAGAATCTGTATTTCCCCATATTAGCTACATACTTTATTGCTGAATCTTTTGTTGTTGTTGTTTAGTCGTTAAGTTGTGTCCGACTCTTTGTGACCCCATGGACCAGAGCACGCCAAGACCTCCTGTCTTCTACTGCCTCCCGGAGTTGGGTCAAATTCATGTTGGTCGCTTCAATGATACTGTCCAGCCATCTCATCCTCTGTCGTCCTCTTCTCCTTTTGCCTTCTCATTTTCCCAACATCAGGGTATTTTGCAGGGAGTCTTCTCTTCTCATGAGATAGCAGAAGTATTGGAGCCTCAGCTTCAGGTTCTGTCCTTCCAGTAAGCACTCAGGCTTGATTTCTTTTAGAATGGATAAGTTTGTTCTCGCGTTCATCTTTCTTTATGGTCCATCTCTCACTTCCGTACATCACTACAGGAAAAACCATAGCTTTGACTATTCGGCAAGGTGATGTCTCTGCTTTTTAAGATGCTGTTGAGGTTTGTCATCGCTTTCCTCTCAAGAAGCAGGTGTCTTTCAATTTCGTGGCTGCTGTCCCCATCTGCAGTGATCATGGAGCCCAAGAAAGTAAAATCTGTCACTGCCTCCATATGTTCCCCTTCTATCTGCCAGGAGGTGATGGGACCAGTGGCCACGATCTTAGTTTTTTTGATGTTGAGCTTCAAACCATTCTTGCGCTCTCCTCTTTCACCTTCATTAAGAGGTTCTTTAATTCCTCCTCACTTTTTGCCATCAGAGTGATATCATCTGCATATCTGAGATGATATCTTTACTATGAACCTTTACTATGTTTTAATTCTTTTTGTTAAATAAAATTCCAGTTGTTTACAGCTCTGTGTGTGATATAATCAGCTCATACTGTGCCAGGCTGCATTATTGCCACAGTTTAAAGATCCCTTATAGGTGTGTCTCTGAACATCTGTGAGTTTATACCTGTGCTCTGAGAGCATACCTTATAACAATCCTGAATGTTTTCCCTCCCCTGCATACTTCTGTAGGGATTGAACACTCTCACAAAGTGTGTGCAAAGCGGATTTCAGCCAAGTTTGAAAAAAAAAACCATGAAAACAACGTTTTCTCTTTTGTTATTTATATCATCCTTGATGTTTTACTTATTTTGCTTGTTTTATGTAAACCACGCAGAATAGTGTTATGCACTGATGGGGTGGTATAAAATCATTAGAAATAATAAACAAACAATAATAATAATTTGAGAAAAGGCAAGTGTTTGATGCAACACTTGAACTCATTACTACAGGCATATAAGAGAAAGAAGCAAAGCAGTATCTCAGGTCTTCTTACCTCCACGATGGATGATCAGTAGGTGACATGGTGGAGCCTCTTTGGTACATTTGTTGTGGCACTTTAGCCTATGAAAAACAAGATGAAGACACTATGAAAAATAGGTTGTAGAAAGGTTACAGTGTAAGACTAAGAACATGCAAATACCAATTCAGTCTTGACGTGGAGGGTGACCTCAGGAAGGACTATAGATGGTGAATATGCAAAACATCTAGGGGTTTTGCATATTCGCCATCTTCAGTTACTGAAGGGCTGACACCTGACAACATCAATGGAAGCAACATCTAGAATTCAACTCACAGACTTCAATTTTTAAAAATCTACATTTTAAAAAAAAATCAATTTTTTTTGCATCTCGGTTTTTTGTGTGGAATCCTCCGTGCAGCTTTGACTATTTCAGCTCTTCAAACATGTTCATACCCAACGTACTCAAGGATAGACTAACCAGCACAGATCTCACTTCTTCTTTATCATCATCATCATCTTATTCATTTTCAGAAAGCTGAAAGGAAACCAGTACCATGAACTTTATATTTCTTAATTATGTTTGCCCCTTTGGGATAACAAGGATGAATGCAATGGGCCAGCTATGCACAACCGAGGAAAGCTAGAAATCACCTGCAGCTGTTTGCTACACTTGGAGCAATAAGAAGGGAAACAAACAGAAAAGGGGACATACTTGCAGTTTTTACATTTCAGTCCAAATAGCATTCCTTTCCCACAAACGGTGCATGTCTGTGACATCCAGTACTTGGTGGAAAACCTGCAGTGTGAGAAAGATTGACCTCTGTTCAGTCTTAGGCAAAAAAGTATTGAAATGGGAACATTTGTTATTTAATCAGATAGACTGCTTTCTGCTCTTTCAAATACTCATTTCCTGGTGGCTGAGACCAGGAGCACCAGGATTGCTTATTGATTCTGGTTTAGTTGGCCAATTAAAACACATAATGTAAGCACATGCTGTCCCTTAGTAACATGAGTGGGCACTGTCAAGGTATGTGATTATATTGCAATGTCCACCTTATCCAAGGGCAAATAAGAATTCAGTTTGCTGAACTGTTTTAGGTCATTTGAAAGCCTTCCATCCAACCAGTAAACCAGCTAAATGATCAATGAGGATGGGGGAATATTTGTATTAACGGAGATGTTTTAACTAATTTATCCCATTCATTGTCTATGCAATACTAATAATAGCTTACACAATGGCCCAAAACCTGCTTGGGTAACTTTCTACAGAGGGAGCTTCTACCATGTAAAGTTACAACAACAGGGTTTGGGCCATTAGCTTTCCGTTTTGGCTACTCATGAACCACAAACGATGAGCTATCACGAAACCCACCCACCCCCGAAAAACAAAACAGTTCAAAGTTTGATTTTCGGGTTTGTGCCAGTGGTGGGGCCCTCCCACTCCGACCATTGCCTCCCTTCCGTGTCTGGAAGCCACCATCCATGACGCTGACATGGCTATCCTGAGAGGCAGCCGGCCCTGTTCCTTGCACAGATACCGGGCTTGCTGCCTGTGTGCTTGCGCCTTGAAACCAGGCCTGCGGCCGATGCATTTGCGGCTGCTGCTCAGCTGACAGGCAAGGGCATGGACAATGGCAGCCGGCGCAGCTTCCCTGCAAGGAGCCAGGCCTGTCACCTCTCAGGATGGCAGCGGCAGTGATGGTGGAGGTGGGGGCGGCTTCCAGACAGGGTAGGGTGGCAACGGCCGCAATGGGAAGGGGAGAGGCAGGCATCTCGTTTTGGCGATGTAAAATAAAACTCTGAGGGGGGGATTTCAGGGCTCCATTTTGTTTTGGCAAAACTGGATCCTCGAACCAAATCACAAATCGAACCATGAACCAGCCCTGTTCATGTTTTTTTTTTCTGGTTCATGGTTTGGTTCATGCCCATCATAGCTCAATATGGAATTTGGATTAAATGGATGAAAATGCTCACAGAATTCCGGGACAACCCACCCTGAGTGAAATGGCGGACTTTCACATTTTTAGTTCTCTTGTTTTAGGATGCAAAAAATTCCAGTGTTAAAAAGCATTTTTTCCTGTTATACTACATGCTTTCATATACTATTGTTCTAATTCTCATGGTTTTATCCAAATAAGAATTATCCAGTTGCCTATATCAGATATTAGAATGACAATAGGAATGACGTATAAGCCCTGTTCAGGGATTATGCTTTACTATGGTATGTCTTTCATAACAGGCAAAGCAGCTGTTCCAACAATGGCATGACCATGTCAAGTAAGGAAAGCCTGCAGACAGCTGCTGTTCATATTTGATCCGTGTATCTGGAAATCCAATTTCTCTTCGGTTCCCAATCATGTGAGAGATTTTGTTCAGATGGAAGCAAATGCAAAACTAGAAACCAGGGCCAGCCCTAGCAGTTGACAAGTTGGACACAAAGGCATTCACTGTCATCTGCTGTGACCGGTATGTGACAGTAATTGTCTATGACAACATCTTAACTTTTGGCAATTTGTGCTGGCAGGCAAAGATAATAGAATTCTCACCATTAGTTTTAATTACAGAAGAAAATAAAAACTAAGAATGGCCAAGAATTCCCACTAAAAGAATGGTTCTACTACTGTAAATATCAATGTTATTTTTGTTCCACCGCTCTGAAGAAGCTCTCATTTACTGTTATTTTTAACGTTATGTCTATTACTATGAGTTTTAATACCTTGTTTCCATGTTTTAGACCAAAATGTATAACACTGAAGACTGTGACGCACAAGAAAATTGGAGGTGAGTCATTTTTTCTTATTATAGAGGTTGAGGAACTCCTCTATCTCTGTTTAAGTGTAGTGGAGTAGGTTGTGGCGATTACAGGTAGGTGGTAGAAGGTAAAGCATGGGTAAAAATTTTGGTACTCTCCAAATGTTTTGAACCAAAACTCCCATGATCTCCAAATGCTGGCTGTGCTTGGCGGGTTTCAGGTTTAAGTGTGAATACCTCCAGGCTTGAGGGAGTCCTTAGAAAAATGTCCTTTTGTTGATCCTCCCCTTTTCCCACCCCAGCAGCAGAAGTAGGGAGTGGCCATTTATATTTCCCATAATTCCCAGGAGTGACACTACACCAAAACTTTGTGGGAAACTGGGGTGAGGGAGGCTTGATAAGCTTAGAAACAGATATTTCAGCGTTTACAGTCTTTGCCTATGGGTTAGGGTGCTGACAGCTGTCCAAAGGCATGGAATGCCAACACCTAATCTGAGAGCAAACTTTTACTGTATTAAGAGAGGCGCTGCTACAATCAGAAAGGGGAAAAGGGGCAACCTCACTAATAGCCACTGCATCTAGTCAAGCAACAAAGAACACAATAATTCTCTGTGTCCTTGTAATATAGGTCTTCTTGGAGATAAAATAATTATTGCCCTTTTTTTTTGAAGCAAGAAAATATGGGTTTTTACCGCTTCATACCTATGTTTGATTGAGTTTCCAAGGTCTCGCCGGGGAATTTGTGGAGACCAACGAGGTACTGACAGCATATCTGTGCGACAGAAATCAAAGAGAAAGAAAATGACCAGGTTAGGGAGGGGGAATTATTTACAGTATTTTTATACCATGAAAGAGTCTGGAATATTATGCATGAATGGTAATTAATGCATAATATATCTAAATGTTTTTTTTAAATGCAGAGCCTCCTACAGAAGTCTGAAGAATATAGCATAACAGGAGGGAATTGTAACAAAGACTGAAATCCTGTTAATTGGCATAGTAAGCCACAACTAGACTGGGCCAATTGAATCAATGGAACTTACAGAGGAATTTACTCCCTAAATCCCCACTGATCCAATGGGCCTTTTTTAGTTGCAGCTTACCACCCTAAGCAGCAGAATTTCAACCAAAATGCCACAGTGTGGAGCATTCAGAATTCCTGCCAGTCAGCCTGTCAGCTGACTGATATTTTCTGAAGTATTTCAATCCATTTCCTTTCTCTATTCCCTCCCCCAAGAGTCGGGCAGCATTCTGTGCCCATTAACTATGTTCAGACTTTGCTTGATAGGTTTATTTGGGGAGAAAGATTGCTACACATTCTATTCTTTTCCTAAACATGTCTCTACTTTACAAGCTTGCAGTTCTCACAGCCCTGCTGATTCTTCTTTCATGGATGGTGATGATGCCATTTCAGATACCTAAGGAACCAATTTCTGATATTTCTGAAGAAATTTCCAAAATTTAGCAAGTTCTTATAAAAAACAGACAAAATTTTCAGCCATTTGCATTGGTCCAAATCAATAGCTACAAATATTCCTAATACGGGAAGAATCATATCTGACATACCTATCTCTCCCAAACAGAATTTAAAGAAGAGGGCCTAGTCAAAAGAAAACAGTATAACTCCCAATGTTCCCCCAATTGATTTAATGATGGAATTTGCAATTCAGGAAATTATCTTTTAAAAAACACCAAGAAGAATTCTGAGCTATCTCTAGAGAATTCCAGTTCCAGTGGCATCTGTCATTTCTCCTTTCTCTTGGTTTCTCATTTTCCCAACGTTAAGTATAGTTCACTCAATTCCTACTTCCACTTCATTTTTTCTCTCCCCAAGTCTTCAGGAATGTTGACACCATCCCCAGACTGAACATGACCCTCTTCCTTCTCAAAGGTCTGGTTTTGCGTTGCCCAGAGACACAGATAAAGGACACTTGCCTGCAGACTAAATAATATGCAATTCCACAATTACTGGCAGATGAATCTGACTTCCATGCTTCTACACAGGATAGCATTCTGTACTACTGTACACCCAAGGGAAGCAAGTGAAGTTAGGAGGTACAAGAGAGACTGAGAAAATAGCTATGGGATAGCAACTGCCCTCAACATCTTTTACCTGAAATGGTTATTGGTTATCTCATTCGAGCAGGGCCTTTCTATATAACACACAATTATCTTTTTCAAAAAAATATTCATAAATATGAGGCTAATTGCAAATGCCCTAATACTTTCTTAAATCCTTCCCATGCTGCTCTTATGGGTTTGATCTAAGTTTGCTTGGTCTAATTAGGCAGTTCTTGGAACATAAAAAATAAAGAAGAAAACCTGGAAGCTGGTAAAAATGGGGAAAGCACTTATATCCCTCCAGACACAGAACATAAAAAATAAAGAAGAAAACCTGGTAAAAATGGGGAAAGCACTTATATCTCTCCAGACAAATGGACAGAAAGATACTCAGTCACACAGATTCTTCATGTGGCATCGCTGGAAAACTGGTGCCATCAGATGCATAATTTTCTTTCAACACAATAAAACTTCTTGATAGCCAGATGCTTGACATTTAGTCTTACCCACTCTGCTTCTGACCATTTGGAATAAAGTCTGCCATAGTGTTTGGTAGCTTTATGTAAGTAACAATAAATACATGCACTGTTTGTTCTAGAAACTGCCAAATCATAAAAATACACTGCTGTGGACATCAGAGACCCTTCGTATTAATGGAAAATCAATATCATTCTTTGAAATGAAAATGCCACTTGTTGGAGGTATAAGCTCAGACCACTAAAATATGACTCTCTGTAGCCATTAGGCAGAATTCAGCAGTGACCCTAGGGTTTATTACATAGACCTGTCGATCCTTCTGCAAACAGAGTCCTGATTTTTTTATATTGACTACGAAATGCCTGTTTGCTTTCATATCCTATTTTAATATTGCAGGTTGAAGTGTTTTTAATTGTGTGCCATTTTGGAAGGTTACATTTGCATGCGACTTCCTGTGTGGAAACTGATTCTCCATTTGCTGCTTCAGAGAAGCAACTCAGACCTAAATGCACTTCAGGAAAATAATCTGCTGGGAGACACAGGTGAAGAATTGTTTTGGTAGACTGGGTTGTTTAATCTGAGTTCTAGTTTGAAGCATGGCCATAAAGACTACCATGCAAATGCAGGGCATCCCACAGCCTGTGCCTTAGTCCTGTTGTTTGCTTCTCATCTGAGGTGCTATCCTCTAAATAGAGTCTCTTCACTCTGTACTGGTTTGGCTAATAGCTAGTGAAAAGCAACTGACCTATGTCGTAATATGCAGTTCTTATGTTCAGGGTTCCAACCTTCCCTACACAAACAGACACAACACATTCCCTTACACTGTGGCATGTTTGGATGCTGCTGGAGTGTTGCCTGGGATATGATTCATAGCAGATGGGCATGAGCTGCCAGTTCGGTGGTTTGTGCTGGTTCATCATTTGGACATACAGGTGCCAGATGGCTCCCAGCCCTGCCTCCTCTGTTGGACACCCACTCAGAGGCAGCGCCTATGCAGTTCTTATGTTCAGGGTTCCAACCAGCTGTGCTCTTTTTTCAAGATACTCCATTCCATTTCTCTCTGCCCATTGTTTTTTTTTCCCTCCAGAACTCCAAGGGGTGCCCAAAACTGTGTGGTCCTGAGCATGCGCGGTCCACATTGGGCTGTTTTAATTCCCCCCAATACTTTCACAGGCTTTGCTCCCACACTCAACATTTTGTGCACTTTTGTTAATCTTGGAACCTGCCCCAGCATCCTGACATTTTTCTTCATGATCATCATTGTTTAACAGGCTGTGTCAAATGCAAAGCCTCGGGTTTAATTTGGAAAAACTGTGTTTGGAGTTCCTGAGAAACACTTATGATGGAGCACAATTTTAATAAAGTAAATAAAGAACTCTCTTGTGTAGTAGTAATCATGGTATCATGCCACTTACCTTCCCTACACAAACAGGCACAACACATTCCCTTACACTGTGGCATGTTTGGATGCTGCTGGAGTGTTGCCTGGGATATGATTCATAGCAGATGGGCATGAGCTGCCAGTTCGGTGGTTTGTGCTGGTTCATCATTTGGACATACAGGTGCCAGATGGCTCCCAGCCCTGCCTCCTCTGTTGGGCACCCACTCAGAGGCAGCGCTTTGGCTTCTCTGCCCTGCCTCCTCTGGGCGCTGCCTCTGAGTGGTTGCCCTCTGGAGGAGGTGGGGCTGGGAAGTGCTGAACACCTATTTGTCTGAAGCATGAACCAGCACAAGCCACTGAAGGTTTGTGCCCATCTCTGAAATCACTCCTTACAACCCATCTCCTTGCCCCTTACAACCCATCTCTCCCTGACTGCCTCACCCCACATTCCAGTTCTTCAATACCTTCACTGCCTTGTGTACAGTTCACAAGTTCCTTTCCACCTCTTTTCTTCCTCCCTCCCCCTCCTTCTGCCAGGAACCTTCCAGTTTTTCTCCAATATTCTCATTTCTATGGCAACAGGGGCAAGGGCAATGGAGAACAAAACATAAAACTTACAAAGCAGCAAAGTTACAATCCACCCAGAGAAAACAATATCCACCAAATCAAAGGCAGATTAACTGCCACAAGTCTATCTGAGGTAACCTTCAAAAATACACTATAATAAGGGGTCACCAACTTCTTAGCCCCCTTCATATATCTGAATATACCACACATTTCACCCTTTCATCATACATAACATTCCAGTACACAGAGATGGGGGAGATTTAAATGCTTATCACTTACAGAGTTCTAGAGACTGGGGTAAGATTCTCTCTCTCTCTCTCTCTCTCTCTCTCTCTCTCTCTCTCTCTCTCTCTCTCACACACACACACACACACACACACACACACACACACACACACACACAGAGAGAGAGAGAGAGAGAGAGAGAGAGAGAGAGGGAGCGAGAGAGAGAGAGAGAGAGAGAGAGAGAGACGGAGGGAGAGAGAGAGAGAGAGAGAGACAGACGGTTCTTTTGGTTCTTTCACGCCAGGAAGCAGTAAAACAATTGACAACGTCTCCTCCTGAATTCTCTGGTCTCTCCCTGTGTCGGGAACTACAGCTGCACACGCCACACGGCCTGTTTAGCACCCCTACCCCACCACTCTCAGATTGGCCTGCAGACCCTCAGATGCAGTGGGGAACCGCTGCCTATGGCAAAGTAAGATTCGGTGGTCATTCCAGGTAGCACCTGCACAGGAAAGGGAGCGGAGGGATGCTGTTTTGTCCTTTACTTTGGGCAGCAAAATGTTCTGGGGCAGCCTCACAGAGGCGCACCAAGGCAGGCTCCCTCCCTTCACTGCACCTAGCTTCAGAGCATGGAGATAACATCTGGCTTCTGTGACTGCTCTTGTACCCAAATGGAGTGGGGAGGGGGGAAAATGAAATTGGATGGATTTAGAGCTGGAGAATAAAGAAAACAAGGCCATTAGGTGAAATGTCGTTAGGTCTACCTGCAAAGAAATGGGTGGCTTCTGGCTTCATTTTGCCTGTCTTTGAGCCTTGGGGAGCCAGTGCCATGTGCTGCCATGTAGCAGGGAAAGGGCTGGACCAAGACTTGGAGATTTGGATTCTGCACTCCGTAAGCCCTGAAACTCACTGGATGATCTTAGAGCAAGTACTCAACCTGACACAAAGAGTGGATGAAAACACACATGGGAGTGTAAGAAGTGCTACAAAACTGAGAAAGATTTTTTAAAATCCTAGGTTACTCTACCTCGCAGGTGCTGTGAGGATAACTCAAAGAAGAAAAGAACCATGTGCTTGAACACACTGGAGGAAAGAAGGTTGTAAATATAACCAATTAATAAGTAATTCCCAATTGAACATCATTCAGCTGGCATCACCACATTTTGTGGCAGTGTCGCAATAAATTGCCACCAATTAATTAGCTACTGCTCATATTCCTCTTTGCATGCCTGGCACATGATTATAAATGTGACTGGCAACTTGTGAATTAGCAATAATTCATTGATACAATTTATCTACCTGCATAAATAGGATTCTGTCCAATAAATTAATTTCAAATTGTATTAACACAAATGTCTTTCTTCCCTGGGAGCCAGAGAGCTTTACTTCCATTGAGGGATGCAAGCTTTAGAAGTCAGGAATGGAATAAATGCTATTTGGCAGGTGATCTGGAGGAAGCCGACTGCATAGCTCAATGGTTTAGGTGACTGGCTGTGGAGCCAGATACTGGGAGTTTGATTCCCCACTGTGCCTCTTGGTCTTGGGGAAGCTGCTCAGTCCCAGGGTACCCCAAGAACAAGGGAATGGCATATCACTTGAGTACTCACTAACTAAAAAGGGTCACAATAAATCAGAATTGACTTTAGGACACACAGTTATTATACTGGGAGGGAGGATTATTTATACCACTTTAGATCTCATTCAAAGAAATTCAGTGGGACCCTTTTCATTTTCAGAAATGCCATTTGGCTCATCACTGAATCACATCATACAAACAAGGTGCCCTCCCCCCTCTTTGCCTCCTTGTCCTTTGTGAACCAAACACACAGGCAAATTACAATTACTTACTAGAAGTTAAATTAAAACCTCTGCTTCATTATCCACGATTTATATCCACTAACTTTTGCCTGGCCTCAATTAAATCCTGCTCTTTTACAGAGAGAAAGAGAGAGGATGGTTGAGGCATTTAATTATTTTCTATAACATGCTCATTGCCAAAAAATTATTATTAAAGTGTATCAGGAATCATAACCTCTGAACAAAGCATGAGAGACCCTCCGTGTCTTGCAGGTAATTATTTTCATTACAAGGATAATGGATGAAGGATATGAGATATTAACAATACCTCTGCTCTTTGCAGTGGAACGGCAAGCTATAGTAAGGGATTGAAATGCTGCAAGAAGACCACCCAGGTGTATTTCAGAGAGCTTTTTCAAGCTAATTTGTGACTTTCTTTTTTTAATCCAAGAGGGATGAAGTTGTAGTCATTTCAAAATGGAAATGGGTGATGAAAGATATCCATCCGATCCCAAGAGGTGAGCAGAATGGAGACCTGGGGTTTTGCACTGGATCAATCAAATTTCTGACTCATATTTAACTATTGGTGCAATAAAGTGTCTATCTCCCCCACCATCTATTGAACTGCTAAAATGAGGAAAATTGGGTCAGGGTGTGTTGAGAGTTTCATGAAGATTTGGTGCCCCAAAGTACTCCTTAGGTTATAAGTCTATAATTTAATTAATCATTTAATTAATTAATTGTTATAAATTTTTTTAGAACTTGTTATCCTTATGTTGTAAGCCGCCTAGAGTGGTCGAAATGACTAGATAGGCAGGGTATAAATACAATAAATAAATAATAAATAAAAATAAAATAATTCTGCACTGAAGATCTCTCTTTTGCAAAGTGTTGGTGCATGTCTCCCAAAGTTTTAATCAAAAAGGCCACCGTTTGGACAAATTACTTTCTGGAATGCAGCTCCCACCTCCCAACACTTTTCCAAGCTCTGTAAAAAGTATAATAAACCCTATGGTCCTATTCTGCTTTCTTCTGTCTTATCCTATAATGAACCAGTAGTAATAAGCCTCAAGGGGGAAGCACCTGAGAGAGATGCCAGCTAATTTCAGGAGAAAAAAGGAACTCCAAGGGAACAAGAGGGAAGCCTTTGAAGTCTACCCCCCTCTACTATTCCAGTTTGAATTAAAATTCCAATCTAAAACCACAGAACATGTGGAATGCCAACAAAGGGGACATGTCAACCGAAAAGCAGTGTACTCTCAATCATGTGTAGAGTGCATTCGGTTCACTCACAATTGGTGCCTTACAGATCTAGGATTAAGAGGAAAAACTCAAACTCCAACACCATCTGCTTTAGAAGTAGAAACCCTGCGTTGCCAGCGGCAAAAATGAAAAAAAATCCGAGAAGCAAAGGCATACATTTGATAGGCTCAAGCAGCGTTCCAGGCTCCACACCCTTATTGCTTTCTGTTTGAATCAACAGGTTTCTTTGATCGCAGGAGCAGCAAGGGAAAGGAAGCCGTGTGGTAGAAGGGAGAGGGTTACAAAACGAGGGTCAGGCATCTCCTTCTCCCTTGCTGACAGGAGTCACAACAGAAATGCCCACAGGCCGCAGCTGTCTCTCCTTGATAGACAGGTGTGACAACAAGGCCCAAGACCTGAATGGCCCCCGTGCTCCTGGAAAGTGAGCGGGGCCAAGCAGGCGACAGCAAGCTGTGCAAATAAACAGCCCGGGCCATGACAGTCACTGTACCACAGAGCCCTCGGCTTCACCAATCATCTCGCTGTGACGAGAATCTACCAGGAAAGCAAGCAGCTTCGCGGACGAATAATACTTGTGTGCAGATAAAGAACAAGTTCTGCTGGGGGGGTGGGGTGGGGTGGGGGAAAGTGACAACAAAGCCATAGTTGTGAGAAAGTGCAAACTGAGAGATGGCTCTGAGAGGCTGCAGCAGAAAGGATTTCCTTGTCTGCTCTGGTGATGTCTAGTGAATTACAAAGCCCGAACACAAGGCAAAGCCCTGCTGAATCAGATGAAAGCTTTGCCTTTAGGTGAGGAAACCTTCTGCTCATGGAAAGGAATGGGCCCACTGGGATTCCCCAGTCAGCTTGCAAGAGCTTTCTGTTGTTACCTAGGCTTGGTGATCAGAGATAAGAGAGTGCTTAACAGCATTTAATTTTAAGTGCCCTGCCTACAATTGAACTGTGGTTTGAAGGGAGCTATACCTCATACAAAGGAAAGCTGTTGCACTGAAGCTCATGCTTTAATAGACATGCCATAGAGCTGAGCTATGCTTTGCATTTTAGTGGGGAAATGTCCAATTTGGTAAAAATGACATCGGACCTTGTTCACTTTGGCTTTGGCCCTGCCTGCTCTCTCCGATCTGCTGGGATGCCCCAATGCACTTCCTGAACTGTAAACTGGGCCCTGGCCAAAAAGGATTTCCATCCCCTTCTATCCAAGGAATGAGGAATCTGTGGCCCTCTGAATGTTACTGGACTTCACTTGCTATTTAGCGTCAACCAGCACGGCCAGTGAACAGGGATGAAGGTCCATGAATATGTGGACTCTCTTTATCCCAGGCCAGCTGCCTGCTTCTTTTTGTTGTTTAGCCATTTAGTCGTGTCTGACTCTTCCTGACCCCATGGACCAGAGCACGCCAGGCCCTCCTGTCTTCCACTGCCTCCCGGAGTTGGGTCAAATTCCTGTTGGTCGCTTTGATGACACTGTCCAACCATCTCGTCCTCTATCGTCCCCCTTCTCCTCTTGCCTTCACACTTTCCCAACATCAGGGTCTTTTCCAGGGAGTCTTCTCTTCTCATGAGATGGCCAAAGTATTGGAGCCTCTGCTTCAGGATCTGTCCTTCCAGTGAACACTCAAGGTCAAATTCATGGGAGAAAAAAACCTTATAAATGGCACCTAGCTACCATAATGGATATACCATAACCTCTAGGTACATGTCTCTGAGTGCCAGCTGCTGGGTTGTAATGGCAGGATTAGCCATACATCCTCCTGGACGACTTTCTGTAAGCATTTTGCTGGCCAATAGACCAGCTAGCCCTTGGGTAAGACGTGCAGGGTGTCTTATGTTTCCAGAAGGCCAGGGATGGGGAAGGGGAAAAAAAGAGCTCAGATTTTTTTAGAAATATATGCATTTCATAATGACAAACAAATGTAACTCTGACATAGCTCTGATAGGTATTGTTGGTTTCTGTCCTGGCCAAAATTTGGAAATATGCTTTCAAAAAGGAATACTTATGATGGTTGTTTACCATCATAGTCACTATTGTTTAAAATTACATACTGTATTTTTTCCGTGTATAAGACGCTACTCTTTCCTAAAACCATTACACTAAAAATTGAGGGAATTTTACACAGAAGTAAGCTGAGATAGCTGAGGAGAGAACAAAACAGCATGTACCTTGCCTCCGTAAACAGGCTTCCTTCAGTCACGAGACTTAGCTTCCTCCAATCACAAGCCTTACGCAACTGACATCAGCTGATGCTGTACAAACCAATTGGAACACACCTTGTTGGAGGTGGAGCTTGTAGGCTCAGATTCAACAGAGACTCCTAAAATCTGAGCATTCGGAACCCAGAGGCTGAATCCTCAAAGTTACGTTTTCTTAATTTTTGAGTTATAAAAGTGTGTGCGGGGGGGGGGATCTTATAAAAGTGGGTGTGTTATAAATGGAAAAATACAGTAGTTGTCTTCCCATTTCATCAAAATAAATAAATGGATAGTTTTCAATTATATTATTTTAAAAGTCTGCATACCAGAAACTGCTGCTGTGGAGTAAAAAAGATACAGACTCTCCTGCCCTCCTCACTATCGCCTCGACACCCATAGAATATGAGGGCAGCACATTCCAGCAACTGAACCATATGACGTTCCTCTTCCACCATCTAGTGATGTGTCCTATAACTGTAGTTGCCGCTGCACCACAAAAGGAGTGATGTTATGCCCTGTTCAGTTACAAGCAGAATCTAATCCAGCTCTCCTTTGTTTCTGAGGGGAAGAATTAATTATAAAGAACTTTTTATTTGTAACGAGGTACTTATCATAAACAGCTAGAATGGAAACTGTCCACAGAAAGGAGAAGTCAAACATGGTATCTAAGCTGAGACAACTGGGTGCCTCTGCTTCCTCTCCATTCCTTTGTCCCTTGTGACACACGAACCTTAGGGAGCTCCCTTTGTGCCATCACCAGGGATGTCTGAATCGAAGTCTTTTGTACCAAGCCCTGAGTCCCAAGCCCCAAATCAAAGTCCCTACTGAGAACAATCTTCTTTCCCCAGAAAAACAAACATGGTATCTAAGCTGAGACAACTGGGTGCCTCTGCTTCCTCTCCATTCCTTTGTCCCTTGTGACACACGAACCTT